CGCCGCCAGCGTCGCGCAGCGCCCAGTCGGCGCTGGCGCGCGTCAGGCCGCGCGCATCGCGCCCTCGCAGGCCCTCCAGCCCCGCGGCCAGCGACCCGCCGCCGGCGCCGGCGCCGGCGTCTTCGTCGTCGTCGCCGGGGTGCGCGCCCAGGCGCAGGTAGCTGCTGGTGCGGCGCAGGGACCCCAGGTTGGTCACGCCCAGGGAGGAGGCGGAGCGCGCCAGCGGCGGGCCGGGGCTGTCCAGCCGGCCGCCGCCGCCACGCGGCTCCGGCGCATCGGCCCCCGCGCCGGCGTCGTCGCGCCCGGGCGAGAAGAAGCCGGGCGTCGCGGCGCCGCTGGCCGAGCCCAGGCGCGGCGTGGTGAGCAGCAGGGCGGGGTCGACGTGCTCCCAGGCCGGCGCGAAGCGCTGGTCGGCGCCGCCGCCCGCCGCGGAGGTGGGCGTCGGGCCCTGCGTCGCCAGGCCCGGCAGGTGGGTGGTGGCCCAGTGGGGGGGCACGCCGAACACCACCTCCAGCCGCCCCGTCTCCCAGTCGTAGAGCAGGCAGCCCCGTTTTCGTCCCCGGCCTCGTACGACTTGAACAGCAGGCCCGCCGCGTACGCGCCACCCCTGCGTGGTGAAGAGTAGGGGGGGCGCGATTGTTGATAGTCAGCGATGGCCTGGAGAGCGCAAGCATGGCTCCCTAGACTGAAGGGCGGGTGGGACGCACCCTGCTGATTTACCCCCCCCCCCCCCGCACCCCTCCTGCCCTTTCCCTCTCTCATTCCTTCCTTCCCCTAACCTCCCCCATCCCCCATCTCCCTTGACCCGCCTCCACCCAGGCCCCTCCCCCCCCAGAAAATCCCACCCACCTCTCCAACGTGAGCACGATGTCGAGGCAGTCGCCCTCCACCCCCTCCAGCGGCGTGGCCTTGGTGGGGGGCAGCACCACGTCGCGCACGGCGTGGCCGCCGCCCTGGCGCAGGCGCCCCACCTCCGGCAGAGGCGCCTGAACCAGGCGGCCGTCGGGCGTGGCGTGAAGCTCGCGCGGCAGCGTCAAGCAGCCCGCGTAGTCGTAGGAGCCGACGCGCCGCTTCTCCTGCAGCCAGCCCCAGAGCAGCCAGCGCCCCTCCCGGTCCTGCAGCACGTTGGGCGCATAGAGCACGTCGCCCAGGTCCAGGCGGAAGGGGCCGCGCGCGCTCTCCAGCTCAAACTTGAGCCCATCCGCGCTGACGTGCCCCATCCAGAAGAGGACGGGGTTGGTGGGCGCGTCGGGGGAGACTGGGCAGAGAGGAAGGGGAGCGGGAGGGGGGGGGGGGGGGGGTGGATCCAGGCGGCGAACAGCGGAGTGTCAAACCATGTACAGCCCGCCCACTCGCCTTGGGGCCGCGCCGAGGACCCAGGGCACAAGCGCAGGCCATTCAGAGTCCCCCCCCTTTCTCATACTGCACAACCCAGCCCACACACGATGTCGGAGGGGGAGCGGGGGCAGGAGCCGATGAGGATGGGGTGCCCAGGCAGGGAGTCCCAATTCAGGGTCCACCGCCACTCGTCAGAGCTGCCCTGGCCCCCGCCGCTCTCCTGCCAGCGCGCTTTGTTGGCTTCCTCCTCCTCCTTTCTCACAGGTGGAGCTCCCGGGGATAGGAGCACGGGGCTGAATGAGACAAAGGGAAAAGCACAATCCCCACCAAGGTGGGTACCGGAGAGTGGTGCGAGTGCGCCTTGAGCAGCTTTGCCAGTAACCGGTGTTCTCAGGTTCGGATGTACCTTGCGAGGCCTGTGCTGCAATGTGCCACTTTTTAGGGGGCGCGTCGCGGCTTGAGGAAAAGTACGGGCGGGAGCTGTGTCGAGCTGTGGCAAACCCCACCTTGCACACAGATCGCACGGGATGGATGCAGTTCAACTGCTGCATTGCGACTACGATGAGTTTGAGGATTTACCGAGAGGAGCGCGGGGAGGGCGCTTCTGCGCCGGTTATGATGCCCAGGCAGGTAAGATACCTCAGCCCGAGGCTTGGCGCCTGCTCGCCTGCCCAGAGATCAGATTCGCGAGAGCGCGCTGAAGGGGTGTCTCGTGCCGAAGTCAAGCATTCTCTTGACCTCTCCACATGCTCCCAAGGGAGAATTCGTGAATTGGGAGTCTCTACCGCTCAAGCCTCGTCAACCCGACGGCGGTGACGGAGTGTCTTGGAGGTGACCAGAGATTACGGAACGGGAGGTCGCTGTTCCGAACCGCCCCCCGGCAGTGACCGGAGCGTCAAGCTCACCTGCTGCTGATAGAGCATTCCACATGAGTACTGTGGGAACTCCCCACAAGAGGGGGCATGCCCGCTCTCGGTCCAGTGTGGCGGGCGAGGAGACTCCCATTCTCCAGGGCTGGCTTGCGAGGTGCGGAAGGGTGCAGGAAGTTGGGACGCGATCCACGGGAGGGAGGGAGGCCATGGCGGGCAGGGTGCTTCATGGTGGATGAAGAGTGGGTGCCGAGCGAGCGAGGGGCGGCAGGGACTGCGCGCGCGCGCCGACCGGTTTCCCCCCCACCTCAAACACACACACACACATTTACACGCTGTCCCCAAACTCACTGGTGAACAGGTGCCACTGGCGGGCGGGGTCTCGGGAGTCGGGCCCAATGGGCGTCTCGCGCGTGTCAGAGGAGGAGGAGATACGGCCAATGCGCTGCTCCACCGAGGCCGTGCGCTTGGGGCGAATGCCCGGCATGGAGCTGAAGCGGCTGGCAAACACGTCCTCCGAACGCTCCCGGAAGCGGTGCTGGGGCGGGAGGTTGAGCCCCAGCGGCGCGCGACCGCGCGAGTCTGCGGGCCCGGCGGGGCCGGCAGGCTCCTGCGGCGGCTGCGGCTGCGCCTGCTGCGCCTGCTGCGGCTGCGCCTGCTGCGCCTGCTGCATGGGTGGGCGGGCGGCGGGGCGCGGGGAGACGTGCGCGGACAACGGGCCCACCCTGTCGTGTCCCTCGTCCGCAGGGGAAGCGGCTTTAGGCACAGACAGCGGAGGCAGGCCCGCGGCCAGGGATGGCGAGGCCGTGACACCCACGGACGGCGAGGCCGCGACGCCCACGGACGGCGCATCCATGCCGGACAGGCCGACCGGCAGCACCGTCAGCGGCAGGTCGGCCCCCGCCGCCCAGCCCTCCAGCGTCGCGGCGCGGTCCAGGGACAGGCGCCGCGCACGGCGCGCGCCCACCGCCACGCCTTCCTGCCGGAGTGCGGCGTCGAAGGCCAGCCCCGCCAGGCGCGAGTCGGCGGGCGCGGCGGCGCCATGGCGCGCGGCGCCCAGCGCCGCCAGCTCCGAGGACGCGTCCCAGTCCTCGCCATCATCGGTGTCCCGTGCAAGGTCGGAGGAGGTGCGCGCGCTGGGCGCCGAAGCGGTGGCGGCATCCCCTTCGGCGTCGGCGGCATCCCCCTCGGCGGCGGCGGCATCCCCCTCGGCGTCGGCGGCATCCCCCTCAGCGTCGGCGGCATCCCCCTCGGCGTCGGCGGCATCCCCCTCGGCGACGGCGGTCCCCGCCGCCACAGCCCCCAGCAGCGCCGCCTCGCTGCCGCGCTGCGAGGGCGAGCGCCAGAACTCGAGCGTGGGCGCGTGGTCCAGGTCCAGCAGGCGCGCGTGCGAGCCGCCGTCGGCGCTGAACTGGAAGCTGCCGGCGCGGGAGAGGCTGCCGTCGGCGCGCGGCGTGCGCGCCTCCTCCCCCTCCTCCGTCGTGGCGTCGGACAGGCGCGGCGCGATGGGCACGCCGTGGGAGAGGGGAGAGGCGTGGGCGCCCCGCGCCGCGCCGCGCCGCCCGCGCCCGCGCCTGCCCGGGCCGGCCCGCGCCAGCAGATCGTGCTGCGAGCCAAAGGGCGTGAGCTGCGGCGCGGGCACGTCGGCCTCGCCCACCAGCCAGTGGGGCGGGAGCGGGCGCAGGGGCAGGCCGCTGGCGGCGGCCTCCGCGGCGGCGGCCGCCGCCTCGGACTCGGCCGCCGCGCTGCCGGGGACGGGGAAGAGCGGGACCAGGAGGGGGCACTCCCACACGAAGCCGGTGTCCAGGGAGGAGCCGGTGCACAACTCCCCGACGAAACGCCAGTCTGCGGATGGATGGATGGGTCGGTGGGTCAACGAGGCGGACTGGGTCAGAGTGGCCGGCAGGGACATGCGAGGGTGGCTTGCATGCCCGGCTGGACCCCCTCCCTGGACGAGAACAGGCGAGCTCGTGCGCCCATGGACCCGCCCAGGCAGTGCCATGTCTGGAGGCTGCTTGGCGAGGCCATCGCGTTGCGGCGCAGCCTTCCCAGGCAGGGGAGACCGGCGTGGGAGGGCCGACTCGACCCCGCCAGCCCCACGCCTCCGCGCCACCCCCCTCCGACACCTCACCGCCGTGGATGTTGGGGGAGGAGTACACGAGCGCGGTGCCCCCCTGGCCCTTGATCCCGGACCCGATCAGCATGCGATGCTCCTGCACCCGGAATCCGGTGCCTGCGGCGGGGTGGGCGGCGAGCATGGGGCTGGGAAGGCATCGGGGCCCCTGCATGGCGCCGCTCTGGTGTATGGGCACAGCGCAGTGTGCCGGCGGGCTGGGCTGGGCTGCATGCAGTGTGCCCCCAGTCTGCAGTGCTGAGGAAGAATATTCAGCGGGGGGGGCCAATGCGTCTGGGCCTTCCTGGGACCCCCTCACCCCTTCTCACTTCTTCACACCAAAGCTTCTCGGTATCGCCCCTTCCCTCAGAAAGCACCCCCAACCCTTCCCTCAGAAAACACCCCCACCCACCCACCCGGGACGCCGGCGGTGTTGGCGGTGTAGATGAAGGGGTCCCGCCACCCAGTCAGCTGCACGTGGTTGGGCGGCAGGTCCAGGAAGGGGCGCTCATGCTTCACCCACTCCACCAGCAGGTCATCGGCGGGGCCGGCCGGCACCGCCACGATCTGGGATTCAATCCACACCAGGCCCAGGTCGTGCTCGGGGGGTGGGGGCGGGCCTGAGGCAGCATTTGAGCGCAGGCGCACGCCGGTGTAGAGCAGGGCGGGGAGGCCGGAGGCCGGGTCCAGGACGCAGCAGCCGGAGAAGCAGCCGTCGGCGTCGAGGCCGCCGGGCGTGGGCACCAGCGCGGGCGGCAGCTGGCGCCAGTGGATGAGGTCCTCGCTCACGCTGTGGCCCCACACCTGCAGGGTTTGGGTGGAAGGGGGGAGGGGGGGGAGGTGGGACAGGTGTATGTGCCTGCTCCATGATGGCGCCGCCGCCACATGCCTCGGCGCTCTGCACCCTCCGACACGGAAACTCACGATGCCAAAATCCCACTCGCACGCCTCTGGCAGGTGCTGGTAGAACCTGAGTGGGTTGGAAAATTTGCTATTGGGGTGAGTGGTCATAGAGGCGCGCCCAAGGCCCTATGGGCAGTATGCAAGCAAGCCCAAAGCCCCCCCATGCCACCCCGGCACCATACATGTGGTAGCGGCCTTTGTAGAAGACCTACGCGCGAGGGTTGGGAGATGGGTGAGTCGGCATGGATTACAGCTTCTGAGCAAGTTTCTTATGCCCGATTGCTCGGCCCGAGGTGCTGTAGCATCCCGCAGTCACCGGCTCACCGGGCCATTGGGATCGTTCAGCCACCCCGCGTAGGGCTGGAGGTGGTAGCTGGGCCGATACGCGTCAAACTGTACGGGGGGTTCAAGGAACAGGGATGTGTCCTCCCACCCCATCTGGCCCCCAAGAATCGGGGGTCAGGCGCTAAGAGTCTCGAGGAGTGGGAGCTAGCGAGGCATGAGATATCACCCGGCAAACTGGGATTCCCGGCCTGCACTCGTATTGATGCGGTGCAGGAGTGTAGAGGGAGTACAGCCATTCCCTTGTGGTTCGGGGGATGCACGGGTCGGGGGCCCTTTTCTGCATCCTCAGCCGAGATTGCGGGAGGGCGGGGTGGGGGTGGCCTCTTCTCATGTCGGTGTGACATTACGTAAAAATCTCTGCCTTCACACCTTTGCTCACCATACTGTCCCTCTGATTGTTAAAGTTCAAACCTGGAAGATTATACTTGTACCATGTAGCCTATTTTACAGCATGAGTACAAAGGTACGGGATCGGTGAGGGGATGGGTCACGCCATCCCCATGCACTTCGCCACACCCCTGCAGGCATTCGCATCCACGACGACGCCATGCCTGGAGCCAGACCTGCCAAAATTTGTGCTGTGTCTGCTTGTGGCCGTATTCACAGGTGGGTGTGGACGCATGTGGGTGGGGAGCGAGGTCCTGGGCCTGGGTAGGGTTTCCTGCAAGGGTTTTCCGGTCCAGCCTTCCCGGGCTCGACCGTGACGCAGGGGCGATGAGCCCACTCGGGCGCCATGATCATGATCACCCACCAGTGCGCATCGCATACAGGGATCGCGTTCGAGAAGTGGCGCGCCCGCACCCGCGGCAAGGACGCTCATGATCTCTCACACGACTGGCCAGACGGCCACTCGAGCCCCAAGCCGAAGCCCCTCCGCCTCCAAGCAGCCTCGTCACCCGATGTTCTAGCCAAGTATGCGCCAGGCTCCCAGTCCCTCATCGACGCTGAGTTTCCCAGCCTGCGGGATGTGGTGTACGCCGACTATGGCGGGTGCCCCCCCCTCTCCTCGGTGGCGCTGCAGCTCTCCACCCAGGTGGCAGACGGGCAACTACAGGGTGTGATGGCATGTATAGGCGCTTGTCTAGTCTGTTGAAGACGTCCCCTGCTGTCGCCGGGTTCAAGGCGCCGCACGAGACGTACTTTGAGGGTGTTGGTGGCAGGCTGTGCCATTGGGAGTCATGACTCGTCCTTCCGACCCTCCATACCCTTCCCGCGAAGCCTGCAGGCGCTGGCCGCCGAGCTGACGGGCAACCCCCACAGCGCCGGGTCCTGGGGTCCCGGGCAGCCGGACTGGGCGGACGCCCTGCGCCGCCGCACCCTGGAGGCGTGTGGCGTTGGCCCTGGGCAGTACACGTGCATCCTGACCTCGGGGGCCACGGCCGCGCTGAAGCTGGTCGGGGAGACCTTCCCCTGGCACCAGGACAGCTCCCTGTTCTGCCACCTCACCGACAACCACAACAGCGTGCTGGGGGTGCGTGAGCTGGCGCGGGAAGGCGGCGCGCGGGTCGTGCCCGTGCGCCTTGAGCGCTCGGCCGGCGGACTCGGCGTGAGCCTGCCCGCCTGCCCATCGGCCACAGCCGGCGCGGCGCCCAGGCCCGCCAGCCTCTTCGCCTTCCCCATGGAGTCCAACTTCCACGGAGTCCGATACGGGCTGGAGCTGGTGAATGCGGTGCAGGCCTGCGCGGCCGACGGCGAGCACCCCGCCTGGAGGGTCCTGCTGGATGCCGCCAAGGGCGCTGGGACGGGGCCCCCCGACCTCGCCGCTCATCCCGCCGACTTTGTGGCCCTGTCCTACTACAAGCTGTTTGGGTACCCGACCGGTGAGGGGTGCAGGAAGGCCAGTGGAGGGGTGGGTGGAGGTGGTGACCCGGCAAAGAGGCGGAGGAACCTCATCATCGGACCCTCCCTCTCCATACGGCACCGCAGGTCTGGGCGCGCTGCTGGTCAGGAACGACGTCTTGCCTCTCCTACGCAAGACCTACTTTGGGGGAGGGGCCGTGGGGGCCAGCGCTCACGATGCGCCCTTCCACAGGTTGGTTGGGAGGGGGGTGTCAGCCGGCGGGATCGCATCCACGCGGATCCGAGCCGCTCATTGATCATGATTGGAACTCGACAGTCCCAGGACTTGCACGCACTACGTCGAGTCTGATTCATCCTCCTGCCTCAAGGTCACCCCATTGCAACCCCCTGTCTCCCACCCACCCCCCCGCCCAACCCCAACAAAACACAACCTCACAGTCTGCGGCCCGGCGCCGCCGGGTTCGAGGACGGGACGCTCCCCTTCCTTGCCTTCCAGCCGGCGCTGGCCGGCTTCGACGCCATCGAACGCATGGGGGGCTGGCGTAGCGTGGGGGTCCACGCCGGCGCCCTGGCGCGCGCCCTGGCGACCAGGCTGGCCGCCCTGCGCCACGCCTCTGGCCGCCCGGCCTGCCTCCTGCACGGCTGCTGGCCCGGCGGCTCGCTGCTGGCACTGGCGGGCGACCATGCACCCGAGGCCCCGACACGGGACGCCGCCCAAACCCCGACGACCGCCGACACCGCGCTGCCCGTGCGTACCAGCCAGGGCCCCACCGTGACCTTCAGCATGCTGCGGGGCGACGGGGGCCACATGGGGTACCGTGAGGTGGAGCGCTTGGCCTCGCTGCGCGGCATCCGGCTGCGCACTGGGTGCATGTGCAACCCGGGCGCCTGCGCCCAGGCCCTCGGGCTCACCAGCCGTGGTGGGGGGAGTCTGGGGTCGGTTTGTGTGGGGGTGGGTTCCCAAAGTGCGAGCGGCTACATCATCTGTATGAGTCACTCTCACTGGAACGATGAAGAGGTGGTGTGGGGGTGGTGGTTGTGATGCGCATGCTCGCATGCCTCCTTCAACCACCGTGCCTCCGCGAGAACCTGATGATACCCGGTGCCCACCCACCCTTTGCCGACCCCCACCTGCCGCCTCGGCGGCGCTGCGTGCAGAGATGCGGGCCAATCACGCGGAGGGGCACGTGTGCTGGGACGACCGCGACCTCATGCACGGCAAGCCAACGGGGGCGGTGCGGGCGTCGCTGGGCTATGCCTCGCGTACTTCGGACGTGGACCGCATCGGTGCGTGGCTGTCGGTGCTGCTGGGAGCAGGGGCTGCTCAGGGCTGCGCTGTGTTTAGAAAATCGAAGGACTCGTCCCGTCCTCTTCATCTTTGCATGATGCATGCAACGCTGCAGGATGCCAGCCCTGGTGCAGGCGCCATCCGCGGCCCAGCAACCCCCCCCATGCCCCTCCCCCTGCATGCAGTGCACTTCCTGGAGGAATTCTTCGTGGAAAAGGCTGAGGCGCCAGAGTCCCTGCGGCCCGCGCCCGCGGTGCCCCCATCCTCGGCCCTCGTCGTGACGGCGTTGACACTGTACCCCGTCAAGTCCTGCCGGGGCATCCCTGCCACCGAGTGGCCGCTGGGTGAGGCGGCCTACCGAGTTGTTTTCTGGCTGCAGGGCTTCGTCCAGGGGGCACATCCTGAGAATGAGCTGGCGCAGCACCACAACACCCTAGTGCACAGACACTCACGTCTCCTTCACGCCGCGCACCGCCAGGACCCTCCGGCCTGCTGCACGATCGAAGCTGGGTCGTCGTGGATGGCACTGGCAAGCCCCTGTCCCCCAAGCGTTGCCCCGGCCTCCTCTCCATCCAGCCGCGACTTGAGTGGAGGCGGGGGGTGCTGGTCCTGGAGTGGGTGGGAGGGGCGGCTCAGGTGCCCGGCCAGGCCAGGCTCTCGCCGGAGATGCCCCTCGGGTCTGGCGCTGCAGGCGCGGGTTCCCGTCCTGAAGCCGCTGGGCCCCAGGCGCGCAGCGAAACCCTCACCGCCTGGCTCAGCGCCGCCCTGCAACAGCCGGCACGGCTGGAGGCGAGCGTCGCAAGGCGCCGACCCGCCTCGAAGCTGCAGAGTTGTGTCCCTGAGGAGGGGCCAAGGGTCGCAGCTGGAGAGAAGGCAGCCAGCTCAGAGACCGAGGGCGCCACCCTTGGGGGTCCGGGAGGCGCACACAGCATCATCGCTCTTGGCCCGCCTTCCCTGCACAGCAGCGTCACTCCCAACACATTACCTGCTGACGTCAGGCAGGGCATGGCCGCCCTGCCAACTCGCTTCGCCACCAGCGGGGACCTCCTCCTGGTCACGCGGGCCAGCCTGGAGCTCCTGAGCGAGCACGCTGTACACGCTGTGGACCTGATCAGACCCACCGTCCGGGCTGGCCGCGGGGACGTCCCTGCATGCCCAACACCCACCGGGGAATCATTCGCAGCCCGCTTCCGCCCAAACATCGTGGTCGACGGACCGGCGGGGGGGGTGGCCCTTCGCAGAGGACAGCTGGACCGAGATCAGGGCGGGGGAGTTGGGTCTGCGGGTCGCAGGCGCCTGCCCACGCTGCGACCGCATCTGTGTGGACCCCGGGGATGGCAGGTGGGGCCCGGGGTGAGATGGAAGGCTGCCACGCTGGCAAGTTGAGATAGTGAATGGAAGGGTTGATGGTGGGACCCCTCTACTTTCAGTCTATGCATGGCATCGCCCTGGCTCATCTGCTGCCACAGACCAGGCATCGCCCTGCATGGCTGTCCAATGTTTTCTGTCTTTTGTGAAACCCACCATGCAGGTGGGTGGGGCCGGAACCCCTGCTCAGCCTTGCAAAGCTGCGTCGCCGCAGGGGCAAGGTCTGCTTTGGCATCCTTTTGGATGTGCAGCAGCCCTTGCTGCCAGTCGATGCCCCCGCCAACACCCCTGCTCTGCCGCTGCTGCGTGTCGGCATGGCGCTGGAGTGCCTGGTGTAAGCACACACTGAACGATGTGCACTTCCCATGCTCCGAGATCCTGGGGGGGGCAAGATGCCAACTGTGTACTTACATCTCGAGGGCAAGAGCGATTGGAACAGAGAGTGTCCTGTGGGAATGTGCCACAAGTTGGCCCACTGATGACTTGGAAAAGGGGTGGGCGCAAATGCTACTGTATCGCGCTGCTCAAAGGGTTCAGCCCCTAGGGTGGGCATGGAAGATGCCTGGCCCGGGATACTTGGGAATAACAAGTGAGTACAAGAGAGTCACCACACAGGGGCGATGGCAAGACCCAGTCCGGAAACGGGTGGGGCAAGCTGTATATGGCGGGGCAAAGCTCCAGACAGGTTTTAAGAAGCAGGATCGGTGGCTACCTACATCGCGGCTGTGGCAGGGGCAGCCGGAGGCGGAACAGGCACACGTGCAGAGGGGGGTTGAACGAGCCGGTGGGCCCGTACATCGAAACAATGGAAGCGCGCTCTAAAGGCCAAGCGGGCGCGCAAAGGGTTTGGAACAGAGTCTCAGCAAACAAGGGTGTGGTACGAGGGGGCCTGGTTTATCATAGGAAGTAGGTACCTGGGAAGATAAATAAAGAGGTGCAGCTTAGGCCGCGTTGGCACGCAGGGATTGGCCGGCCTCGGCGCCCTGCCCTGCTGCAAAGCTGATGGGGGGCAGGATGGCGTCGACGCGGATGGGCAGCACCGGGGTGAGGCGCAGGGTGGGGGTGCAGAGGTGGAGCTGAAGCGTGCTGCCCTCCCGCTGCGCCGCGGCGGGCGGGGCCAGGCGGACGTCCGGCGCAGCGTTCCCGCTCCCTGCCAGGGTGATGGTGGGCTGGCCCGGCGGGGTGGCGTCGCCCGTCATGGCGGGGCTCGGCGCATGGGGCGAGGGTATGACTGACCCAGACCCCGGCGCTGCGCCAGCCATCCTGACCTCCAGGCGGCGGCTGTGCTGGCCGGGCTGGCTGCCAGAGGTCACCGCCACGCTGTACATGCCCATGGCGTGGGAGGGGGGGCCGTGTCGGGACGCCATGTGCTTGTGGTGGAGCGAGGAGCGCGTGTGGGGGTGCGGAGGGCCAGGCACCTGCCATGGCGTGCCATGTGGGGGAGCAGGTGACTGCATGCATGCCAGCAAGCGGGTTCGAGGTGGGGGGTATGGGTGAGGACCGCAAGGGGCTGACAGGTGCAAGGAGAGGGGGTTTGATCATTGCCCATTCCCTGCTCGCTCAGCAAGTCACCTCATCACAGCCAAGCACCAGGGGGGTTGCTGACAATGCCATAACAAGCATACTGAGCAGGCCTTCAAAGATGTTAAGACCTGACCAGATGCTCCCTCCAGGTCGGGTCCCATCCGGTACACCCACCTTGCTCTGTGCCTGCTTCACCCTAGGGTGCCGCTTCCGCGTCGGTGCTTTCCGGGGTGGCCCGCGAGCCCGGGGGGCAACGGATCCCGGCGCCTGGGAAACCAGGGCCGGGCAGATGGACACCATACCCTGGGCCAGACGGGGGGATGGGCTGCTGGCAGGCCCCAAGGAGCCCCCGCTGTCCGTGGAAACGTGTGAGGAGTTCAGGCTCCATGTCCTGGTGTCGTCGTCGAGGCCCAGCACCGAGGCGGAGAGGAAGGCTTCCAGTTCGGGGGGGAAACTGAAACCGTCATCCGATTCCGTTTTCGAGCTCATCGTCGGCGCGGATTCCCACTCTCGATCGGCGGGGCAGAAGGCATAGGATTCATCTTCCATTGCCTGCATGTTGCGGTAAATGGGAGGGGTCTCATGGCGCTACTGGCAGGAGTAGGGACAAGCACCCTGTATGTAAAGCACCGTGTAAGCTTCCATGATCCATTGTAGTGGTGGCTAAGACTCGAGTGCCCGTCCGGCGACTCACGGTCTCGCTGTGCTTGCGGTTAAACGTAAGGCTGTGCACTCACGACGACTGCCGCAAGCACACGTCACTAGAGAATCCTCGACACCACGCACACTCCACTTAAGAAAGAAAAAGGCCTCATTTCCCAACGGTGGTGGACTTGATGAGATCTTGGCGGCCCCTGGCTGGGGTCCCAGCGGCTTGAGGAAGAATCTCGGAAGTAGCGAAGCTAGGATGAACCTGTAGCAGCTTCGAAGGTACTGCGCCCGGGGCGTGTACTGCCTCCCCATCTGAACCATGCCCTCCTCTTGTATTATGAGGTAAAAAGGCATACGCCGCTAGCAGTATAGAAATCGAGTTTTTCGGAGTGTTTCAGCGATGTGACGTCGTCGGGCCGCGCACGCCCTCACGCGCGACAGACGCGGGTGGGTCTTGCATCTCAGAGAGATCTGCATGTTCCCCGGGCATCCTCCAAAGTGGACATCGTCTCGCAAGAGACCCATTTATCTTGCCTGATGATCGGCGGCTGGAGATCACAAAGTGGCTGTTGAATTCGATCAGCCAGCAGTCATGGGCAGGCACACTCCGAAAGGTGCCTTGCTGGCCTCAGAAAGTCTCAAGTGTCTTAATGTGTGCGCCCAATGCTTGAAACACCATGGGTCAGTCTGAAAAATCTGATCTGCTCCATACGTCTTCTCGAAAAGCACGATGAGGCCTATGGAATCAGCAAAAAGGGGCCAATATCCGCCAATGAGCACTGCATCATAGGCAGAGTCTATGCAGTCGAGATCATCCTCTCATGCTCTCTGGCGCACCAGCTTATATTTTTGGACTTGCAATACTCGGATTGCATATGTCATCATCGCCAGAAACATGTCCTGTCTTCACCAGCTTCATGGTTGACTTGTCAGGGTGAAGCATGGATTACATTAACCACTCGCATCATCATCCTCCACCTTATGCTTAGGACCAGGGTGGTAGTGCGTGTACTGTGATTCTGGATGGTGCTGGTGCTTGTATGCTTGTTTGCACCCGAGCCCAGAGCTGCATCACGCCCGGAGCACTGCCTTCTGGAGCAGATTCCCAACTGCATGCTCTCCGCGCGCGCTCCCAACCCCCACGTGGTAGGTCTCGACTCCACCATCATCGCGTTGACACCGGGAGTGGATGGAATCGTAAGAGGATCGACTTGAGGTATGGATGTTGACCTTTTCTAAACCAGAGTAAGAGTGACGATCTGCCTTCGCACCCACGCGGAGCTGCAGACCTTCTGCAGCCATGATATAGAGCCCTAATCGGATCCTCAGCAATGTTCAGGCGTGCAGCCAGCTGAAAGTCTCCGATTCAATCCATAAAAGCGGCATCGGCATCCGCGTCAGTTCGCCGGGGGTCGCAGTATGGACACGGCCCACGCGAAGACAGTGAATGAGGCACGGCAGCCGAGGGAACGTGCCTGCCACTCCTGCCAGGGCAGCCTCAGACGTTACATCTTTCATCGGGAAGGTTTAACATTCACATCTGCACAGTAAGCTCCCTGCCCGCCCTCGACATCTCAGGTGTTGGAATACTTTGGGGTGGGCCTGGAATATGGCCTGTCCTCGCAGCAGGTCGCCAGTGCACAGCAAATGTACGGCCGCAACGAGCTCGCCCCGGACGCAGGTGACAAGGATGGTGGGATCGAGGGGTGTAGGTGGATCAGGGAGAGTGCTCCAGGAACCCAGGCATGCATGGGTGTTGTCATCCGCTATGCCGTGAGGTTGGTGTATCCAATCATGCCAGGCTTGGCCGCATGACCACGCAATCTCAGCCATAGCCCCTTCTGATCTCCAGGCAAACCCCTGTGGAAGTTGGTCCTCAAGCAGTTTGACGATCTTCTTGTAAAGGTGTGGTGCTCAGAACTGGCTTGGCTTCGTGCGACCACTGGGCGAGCTGGGACTCAAGTCCGGGAGGGGATTAAGCCCTGCGCTTGTGTCCTGGCGGGTCTCTGGATGCTCCCTGCATCACTCTGGGCAACAAGGCAACGTTGTCGGGCAATTCTTGTGCGTCTGACCAATTGTGAGCAGTAGTACATTGACTGCACGCACACCCTGACCCTGCCCTCAGATCCTCATTGTGGCTGCCCTGGTGGATTTCTTCATTGCCTTTGCTGGTGGTGAAGGTCTGGGGGCCTTTGTGGAGCCAGCTGTGATTGTCCTCATCCTCGTCGCCAATGGTAGGGATTGAGGAGGGAGGAGGGGACGGGCAGTGCATTGTTTTTGGTGCATGGACGAGGACGGCTTGTTTGAGCAGTGCATGGAAATCGCGAGGCCTTGCCCAGTGCCTGTGCTGACCATGAAATGGCGTCTGAGGCAGGAGCGCAGCTGGTGCTTTGCTAGTACGCGTCGGATTTGCACTTCGTGAAACATGTGAAGTTCCCTCCCATCCCACTCGGCACAGCCACGGTGGGAGTGTTGACGGAGACCAATGCTGACAGGGCCATAGAGGAGCTCAAGGCCTACGAGGCCGACGTGGCGACCGTGCTGCGGGAGGGGCGCTGGACTGTGACCCCGGCGGTCGAGATCGTGCCGGGGGACATCGTCGAGGTGGCAGTGGGGGGCAAGGTGCCGGCCGATGTGCGCGTGGCCGCCATCCTTTCCTCTGGCCTCCGCATCGACCAGGTGAGGGTTCCTTTCACCTCTGCATGGGCACAGCTGCACGCTGTGTTGGGGGATTTGGGAGTGGGACTCTCCCATAGGAATGAACGGCCAGACACCCTCTGCTGCGGCACAAGGAGGCCCACTGTGTGGCGACGCCCTCCCCTTTAGCGTTGACGATGGCAGCTGGATGGCAGCGAGCACTATTGCGCTCAGACCCCTGTTCCTGCATCCAAGTACATGTGGATCTGCTTCCCCGCTCATGCCACTGCAGTCCATCTTGACGGGGGAGTCGGGAAGCGTTCCCAAGTCTGTCGAGCCCGTGGCTGCAGGGAAGGCCGTCTACCAGGACAAGACCAACATCCTGTTTTCTGTGCGTGGGTGCAGGGACGGCTTGGGCTTCGGGCTGGGGCTGGTGGATGGTTGGGTGGTGTGTGTGTCAGGGTGGGTGCTTGTTTCGCGGTTGGATGGTGGGAGGGTGTATGCAGGTGCGGCGCATGGGTGGACATCCAAAGGCACCTTCTTGCGTTTGGGTTTGCACTACCTTGCCCCCTGCACTCATCAGACCACGGACAAGCCCGCCTGCTCCTTTCCCCCTGCAGGGCACCGTCGTCACCGCAGGCAGGTGCCAGGGCATTGTCACGGGAACGGGCGCGGCCACCGCCATCGGCAAGATCCGCGACGCCATGGCGGGACTGGAGGATGCAGAGACGCCGCTGCGCAAGAAGCTGGACGAGCTGGGCTCCCTGCTCAGCAAGGTTTGTTAAGTTTGAGTTTAGAATGGGGAATGGAGGGCGGGGGGGGGGGGTTCGGGAACGGCGTGCCTGGCAGCATGTAGAAGGGCGGTGGTGGGGCCTGCCATCAATTCGGGGCGCCGAGCCTCTGCTCGCAGCATATACCCTCCGTAAAGGCTGCGCGCCTTCTTGAACACTCCACACCCCTTTGGCGTCCAGGGCACTTCCCCTCTTACACCTCTTGCCTTCCCAGGTGATTGCCGTCATCTGCATCTTGGTCTGGGTCGTCAACCTGCCGCACTTCAAGGATCCCATCCACGGGAGCTGGTTTGCAGGTGAGGGTTTCTCGAGTTGAGGGATTTTTTGGAGGGTGTTTGTGGAGTGTTCCCGTGGCACGGGCATACATGATGCTTGCATCTCCTCAATTCCGGTTTGTGGACCCCGGCCTCAATCCTCGCAAGTCCTGGTTCTCGTCAGCCCCCCCTCTGCCCAGCCCCTCAAATGTTTACCACTCCTGCGATCACTTCCCAGGCGCTCTCTACTACTTCAAGATCGCCGTGGCCCTGGCTGTGGCAGCCATCCCAGAGGGCCTGCCTGCTGGTGAGGGCGGCGTGCCTGGCCATGATGCATCGTGTGGGTGACCAATAGGCGTGCAGCCTGTGTTGCTGCATGCCCTGCACCGACATTTCCCCTTCCCTCAGGGCCCCACCTCCACCAAGCCCTGACCAACCGACCCCTGTCTCCCCCTGTCTCGCAGTGGTGACCACATGCCTTGCCCTGGGCACCCGCCAGATGGCCAAGCAGCACGCGATCGTGCGCAAGCTGCCCTCGGTGGAGACGCTGGGCTGCACCACCGTCATCTGCTCCGACAAGACGGGCACGCTGACCACCAACCAGATGACGGTCGTGCGCGTGACGACGCTGGGTGCCGACGCCGGACACCTGGCCGACTATGAAGTGACGGGGACGTCCTTTGCGCCGGAGGGGACAGTGCTGGCGGAGGAGGGCCCGCTGGCCTGCCCCGCCGACCAGCCAGCCCTGTGCCAGCTGGCCATGTGTGCAGGTGAGCCAAGTGCATGGGTCCAGGGTTCTGTTGCAGGGGCAGAGTGTGTGTCTCGTTGGCGCAGATGGGGTCGCTCGGACCAAGGGGGGTGCAATGGGGGGATGGCGAGTCGCATCTGGAGACCGGTGGCCGGTGATCCTGCGTGCCGGCTCCAGCCGCCCAGGGCAAGGGTCCTGGACGCCCGATGACTGGCCTCCCAGCAAGGATGTACTCCTCACCCGAGACCTTGTCCCCACCCAATCAAGCCCTGTGCAACGACTCCCACCTGAGCTACTCGAGCGAGCGCGGGACGTACCAGCGCATCGGCGAGGCCACGGAGGTGGCCCTGCGAGTCCTGGCCGAAAAGGTGCTCGGCCTGCCTTGCCTCTGGGTTCCATGCACTCAGCTGGGAGGGGGAGGTCCTTGGAGCCTTGTTGCGGCCACGTGCCCCTGGCCCGGCGTGGGAATGAGACGGGGGACCCCACCAGATCAGCACAGCAAGCTAGATTTCCTGATTGTGAAAGCAAATACATGCCTGCCCAGGACCTGACCCCTTCCACACGAACCTGAGCCCACTCCCCTCCCATCGCCCCCGCCTGCGCAGATCGGCATCCCAGGGTACGCCGCCATGCCCCATGCCCTCGCCCGGTTGGGCCGGGAGGAAAGGGCGACGTACTGCAACAACCACTGGGCCGAGGTCTGGCGCAAGTCCTACACCCTCGACTTCTCCCGGTGCGGGAGGGGAGGGACCGGGGGAGTGAGGGGGCCTCCAGCTCCCTCGCTTTGTTTGCAACCCAAACTTGCATGCATGGACTGGACATCCCCCATCCCTCCCCCTTCCCTCGCCCACCGCCTGCTGCCACTGGGGTCGCCATGGTCATGCTTGCACCTGTGCAGGCATCCCTCAGCAGCCTGAGCCTGCATGGGGCCGGCGCGGCGCTGAGGCCCTTCACGACGTCTTCATCCATGCGTCAGAGGAAATGCACGATCAGCTGCCGCAGCATGGAGGCCGGTAAGGACTGTGGGTAGGCCTTTGCGAGGCGGACAGACGACGCACGGTGGCCCATCCTGTCCCACCCATGTTGCCACCTCCACAGCCAAACATCCACCCTTGCGCCAGGTGTGGGAATCTTCGGCACCAAGGCTGGCATGACGTCCATCTACAAGGATGGCAACATGCTCCCCGTGACGGTGGTGGCCCTCGAGCCCGGCAACATCGTGACCCAGCTCAAGTCGGAGGGCCGGGAGGGGTACAACTCCGTGCAGGTGGGGTACCGCGTCGTCCCCGACCGTAAGATCACCAAGCCAGAGCGCAACCACCTGGCCAAGGCGGGCGCGCCGCCCATGAAGTTCCTGAGGGAGTTCAAGGTGAGAGAACTGGGGGAGGTGGTGCCAGCCCCCAAGGGGTACTCTACTTGTGCACACCGCACCTGGCCCAGTTACTTCGACTCCTTGAAGCCATGCATCCCACCCTCTCTTCCCCCACAGGTAAAGGACACCCAAGGACTTGAGCCTGGTCAGGCCTTGAACATTGCCTCGATGTTTAAGGAGGGCGACTTTGTGGACGTTGCCGGCACGAGCATCGGCAAGGGATTCCAGGGTGAGGATCGCGTCTTGTTGAGCCGTGCGCGCATGGGAGCTGCAACTCAAGATGTGGGAGGAGAGGGCCTCTCTATGAGTTGGGCTACGGCCTCACGCAGGTGCCTGCCGCCTGTGGACCCCCCCCCCCCCCCCCCACCCTCCCCCACCTCCGTACAACACCACTCCCTCCCTGCATCCTCAGGGACCGCCGCATGATGAGCACGCTGTGCTCAGGCCCCGACGGCCCCCAGCTCTTCGCCAAGGGCGCGCCCGAGGCCGTCCTGGCGCGCTGCACCTCGGCGCTGCTGGGCGCGCGCGCCGGCGCCGCGACCGTGCCCATGACCGAGGCCCTGCGCGTGCGCTTGCTGCAGCGCGTGACGGCATACGGCTCCGGCTCCGCGCTGCGCACGCTGGCGCTGGCCTGCCGGCCCTGGCGCGACGCGCGTGGCGAGGTGCTGGCCGGGGACGAGGTGGGGCTGACCTTCCTGGGCCTGGCGGGGATGCAAGACCCGCCGCGCCCCGCCGTGGCGCGCGCCGTGGCGGCCTGCACGGCCGCCGGCATCCGTGTGGTCATGGTCACGGGCGACAACAAGGCCACCGCCGGCTCCGTGGCCGCCCAGATCGGGCTGCTGGGGCCGGGGGAGGCGGAGGGCGGGCCCTCGACTGGGACCAGCCTGGCGGGGCTGGAGTTCGACGAGCTGAGCGGGAAGGAACGCGAGCGCGCCGCCGCCAGCCTGGTGGTCTTCGCGCGCGTGGAGCCCAACCACAAGACAGCACTGGTGGACCTGCTGAAGGCACAGGCGAGTGAGAGTGATGGGGTGTTTGGGGCTGGAGGGGTAGTTGAGGACCACACTATGCAGTGGGAGATGGAGGCTGGGGGCAGAAATAAAGGGGGGCCCCAGCAGATGCAAGGGCGGGGAGGGGTCTGGGGCGCGGTCAGGCGCACGACGCATACAAAGAGGAGGGCATGTGACCTGCAATGTGTTCTCCTTGGGGTCTCAATGCCAGCCTGGTACATCATACTCCCCCCCCCCTTCCACCACCACCACGCCGACAGGGTCACGTCGTGGCAATGACCGGAGACGGGGTTAACGATGCCCCTGCGCTGCGGCGGGCCGACATTGGGATCGCCATGGGCTCCGGCACCGCCGTCGCCAAGCACGCAGCCGACATGGTGAGGGCAGAGGGGGGCCACATGACAGTAGTGCCCTCCAGAGTTGGCGTCACAAGGGCAGGTCGCTGCCTCCTCGTAAGCGCAGTGCGCTCTGCATGGACTGCATTCCCAGTCCTTGAGGCCTTGCCACACGCCCTACCACATGACCTCTGAAACCCCTTCACACCTCCTCACAATCTACCAGGTCCTGGCGGACGACAACTTTGCCACCATCGTCTCGGCAGTGGCGGCGGGGCGGGCCATCTTTGCCAACACCAAGCAGTTCATCCGGTACATGATCTCCTCCAATATCGGGGAGGTGGTGGCCATCTTCTCGGCCGCCCTGGTCGGCATCCCGGAGTGCCTCAACCCGGTCCAGGTGCATGTGGGGGGGGTAAGGTTTCCGAAGTCAGGGAGATTTTAAGCCAGGTGGTCTCGTGGGTCCTGTGGGTGGGGAACGGTTCTGATGATGCGAGTCAGGCAGGCAAATCAAGGTGACTTACAGGAAGGCTATTTGCGCAGAATACACCTGCACCCAGGGCTGTTGGATGGGGATTTCGCATGAGGCTCTGACACTGCGTGGAAGCTCCCCGGAACATGAAAGCCAGGTGCATCCACTCTGTCTCCCTCCCACAAGCGCACCCAGACCTCTCCCATATCTCCCACACCCGCCAGCTGCTCTGGGTGAACCTGGTGACAGATGGACTGCCGGCCACGGCCATCGGCTTCAACAAGCCAGACCCACTGATCATGCAGCAGCGACCCAGAAGGGCCAGCCAAGGGATCGTTGACAGCTGGCTCTTCACCAGGTGGGTGGGTGCAAGGGTATGGTGGGAGGGGGTAATCTTTTCTGTGTGCAATGACCGGGTGGCTGTTTTTATGAAACTGACGACGACGTCGGACAATTCAAAGCCAGCCATGCTGTGCATGATTTGGCAGGGCAGTGCAGTAGCCCTCGGACAGTATCCACGAATACCTTGTGCTCCCCAAAAGGGCGTCTTCCCCCACCTCGTTCACTACCTCTTACCTCACTGCCTTCCCCAGGTACCTGGTTGTCGGCGCCTATGTGGGCATTGCCACCGTGTCCGGCTTCGTCTGGTGGTTCATGGCATATGAGGTGAGCCATTCGCGAATGTTTGTGGGCCTTGCAGCGCTGCTGCCCCAGATTTCTTCTATGGGCTTCGACATTCTTAGGGTTGCCATGCGGAGGACACATGTATCTCCCCTGTGCACGAGACTGGGGCTGCTATTGCACTGGCATGTGAGAGCCCCAACCGCAGCCACACTCAGGGGGGGTCCTGTTCAGTTCCTCTCGCATCAACAGATTCATCCCACTCAACAATCATGCAGGGCGGCCCCCAGCTGTCCTGGGCTGCGCTCCGCGACTTCCAGCACTGCGAGGGAACCGCCTGCGATGTGTTCAGGTCGCGCAACCCCTCCACGGTGTCCATGAGCGTGCTGGTGGTGGTGGAGATGTTCAATGCCCTGAATGCGCTGTCAGGTGAGCCCGGGGCATGCTTGGCAGGGGTGTGGAAGGAGGATTCGTCCGCGCAGCCACTCACTCCGATCGGCCCAGGCGTGTTTCTCCCTGGTCAGCAACGCACTGCATACATCATCCCCCTGTCAAATGATGACATGGCTGGACCCCACCAAATGTGCAGAGAACGCGAGCCTGCTGTCCATTCCTGCATGGAGCAACCCCTGGCTGGTGGCCGCCATCGGCGTTTCCATGGCGCTGCACCTCCTCATCCTGTACATTCCCGTTCTGGCAGCCCTCTTCAGGTGCGCGCGGCGGCGTGGGGTTTGTGATTTGGTTGGCAGGGTGGTGAGAAGCAGGTCTGCCGACTGGTGGCCATATGTGGTGGGTCCCACAAACATGCACAGTCTCATGTAATTGCCTGCTTTCCAGCTGTCCAGTGTGCAATGTTTGCTGTGGAGGCGGCTCTGTGCATGACAACCCACTTTCCCCGACCGTCACCTCGATGAGTGCACCACTTCAACCAACCACCCCACCTTCCCAGCGTCGTGCCGCTGGCCTGGGCGGAGTGGAAGATGGTGCTCCTCCTCTCTGCCCCTGTGATTCTGGTGGACGAGGTCCTGAAGCTTATCTCCCGAACGTGAGGTGGAGATGGTGTGGATCTTGCTAGGGCTGGGGGAGTGCGGCCCAGTCATCCATACTACTCTTTTGATTCCTACAGGCGCTGTCTTCCCAATGGAAGCAACCTGCTGATGTTGTTTCTCCCACTCAACCCTCCTTGTTCCCCTCGTATATACCCCTCAACTTGATGCAGCTGGTTCAGCGAGATGGCGACCTCCAGTTTCGGACCGTCTGGCGGCGGGAGCGTGCGGACGGGGTGGCGGCTGTCCCTTCCCTGGCTGCGGAGAGCAACGGGCGGCGCTGTCAAGTATAGCCCCATCCTGGCTCGGGCGGGGGGCGTGGACCTGACCAGGAAGAGGTCAGACGAGTTTGGCGCCACCCGAGTGGCATCGATGCCATGACCTGGCGTGGCATGGCGGACGGCAGGCTGTATGAGTCTGTGTGTGCTGATCTGGCGCACATGCCATCTGTCCCAAGAGCATCTGATGGCGTTATATCCGCCGTGCGAGCCTGGGTTCAGAGCGGTTGCGGGAGTTGAAGAGGATGTATATATCCGAGGCAGTGGCAGGTGGAGGTGCCCTTCACAGGCATACTTGGCATGCGAAGGTTGCCTTGATGACGGAATTGCGGCAGCCTGCCTCGCCCCCGCACTACCCAGGGCTGCAGGAGGGGCATTGCCAGGCCGCAGGGTCAGGGTCGGCCTCGGCCAGGCCGGCGCAGCGCCAGTGGTGCCACCTCCCGCATGCGTCGCAGCTCAGCATGCGCTCGCCGTCGTCATCCCGCGTGCCGCAGCTGCAGGCCACCACCCAGTCCTCGTGGCCACCTTTTGGGTTGGAGGAGGGGGGTTTGGTGGGCCGAGGGAGCTGTGCAGACCTGGAGGATGGCAGAGGCCTCGTCCAGCGACATTCCACACAGCGGGTAAGGAGCAAACTCGCGATCGCCACCACCCACAGGGCACGATATTGCCATGCCCGCCTCCCCCACCCCATCCCACGCACCCTGACGCCACCAGGCGGGATTCCGGTCCAGCCCCTTGCCGCCCATCCAGAGGAGGCGCAGGCCCCCCGCCTCGGCACTGCATGCCGTCTCTGGGAGCACCGTGGCCAGGCGGGTGGCGTCGGTGGCCGCCGGCACTGCCTTCCACCCCGACGCCCCGGGCGAGGGCAGCAGGATGAGGGGCACGTAGTTCTGGAAGGCCACGTAGGCCTCGCCGAGGGCCGCCGTGAAGGCCAGCGCGGTGCCGCCCAGGTCGATGTCAGCCGGCAGGTCCAGGGCCAGGGGGGCCGGCGCCAGCGGGAGTTGGCGCATGGCTGTCGCTGGCGTAGGCGGGGAAGTGTGCGAGGGGTGGTGGTTGTTGGGCGCGGAGCTTGCAACCACGGGCGAGGCCGTCCCCTTGCGCGGCGAGGGCCTGTGTGGAGAAGTGTGTTATGTCATTGAGCCAGCGGAGACTGAAGAGAACAAGGTAAGGAGGAGAGAAGGTTCCCCAGCGAGCACCCCATCGTCATCACGAGTCTGTGCCTGAAGTCCGCTGGCAAGCCATACAGTGCATGCCGCCTGGGACACCACACCTACCTGGTCCGGCTGTGTGCCAGCTGGAAGTTGGGGGGGAGCTGGGCGGAGAGGGCCACACGCAGCATGCCACTCGGGGGCGGCGCCCACGCGGGCCTCACGTCCCTTACAAACAGCTTGCAGTCTCGCAGCACCTGAGGAGAGGTAGGAAGGGGGGAAGATCATGCTGTGGGATGCGTAGCTCAGGAATGGCACAGAGTGGTGTCGGCACTCAAACGCCCCTGGCACGGCATGCTCTGTCGCATGGGAACGTGCAAGGGCGACAGCTCCACCCCCTGGCACCTCCAATGAGATTCCGGCGGACAAGGGCTTTCAGCGTTCAGTTCCGCGATGACCATCCTTGGATGAAGCGCATGCTGCCCTCCCATACTCCACCCACATCCCAGTCTTCCTCACCTGGACTGCGGCTGGGAGGCCTGCCAGTTTGGGCTGGCGCGCTGCGTTCCCGCCGTGCAAGACAGTTGCACGTCCGTCATGCGCCTGCCGCTGCGCTGCAGACACCGCACTGCCCGAGACTCTCGCCGCCGCGGGCCCCCTGCCGGTCAGCACCGCCTCGTAGAGGTACCTCAGATCTCGGAGCACCTGGGCCCGAGCCACACCCTTGTCGCTGCCCCCCGCGGGGGAGCAGCCGCCGGGGACGAGAGGCAGCTGTTCACCGGCCGGTGATACGACGGCCGAGGTGTGGCCCTCTCCAAACACGCTGGGCTGGCATCGCGCACCGTCCTTCTGGCTGCCCTCCGCAAGATCATGGCCAGGGGCCGCCGCAGCAGGCACCCTAGGAGCTGCAGCAGGCGTGGCCGTCGCTGGCGGGGCACCGCCGGCGTCCGTCGCCGGAGCGCCGGTGGGGTGGCGGAAGGGGACCAGCCACGCGCCGAGGCCCTCTGCAGCCGGTGCATGGCCCTGTTCAGAGCTGCCCGTGCTGCCATCGACCATCGCATCGTCGTGCGAAGAGCAGGCTGCGCCTCCACACTCGGCGCACGGCGCGCGGAAGGCCAGCTGCCCACCTGTGTGGCCCCTGGCCGGCGCCCCGCCGCCCCCGCCCCTCGCCCGCCCAGCCCCAGGAGGACTTGAGGACTTTATCAGCTGCGACTTGGTTTTGCCCTCAGCTCTCTCAGACCCCAGCCGTCCCTCCCGTAGGTCCGCCAGCGCCGCTTTCCAGCAATAGGCGCAGCCCGGGGGCCCGCCGCTGCAGCGCTTGCACCCCAGATGCTGCTCAAAGGCCGCCAGGCAGCCCAGGGCCTCCTGTGCACGGTGTTGGCGAGGATGAGGGCGGGGACAGGCGCCGACACTCCATCTCCTCCTTTACAGGTAGGGTCCGAGTTGTCCCTATCAAACAAGGCGCCCCATCTCCTCCTCCATCTTCTCTGCATCGCCCAGACACCCTCCGCCACCCACCATGCTCTGCAGGGCTCGCGCTCGGCAGGTGGCGCACCCTCCCGGGGCCTGCCTGCACCTCCTGCAGCCCAGGGCAATCTTGGGCCCGCCAGCAGCACGCTTGGCAGGTGGGCCCTCGGCTTCGGCCGGCTCGGCCTCACCCAGTCCTGATCCTGGATGGGATTCAGCCTGGCTCGCAGCGCACTCAGCCTGCGCCGGCCTCCTCGTGGTCGAGGCGCTGGCGCTCTGGGCGGGAGTCTTTCCTGCCACCCTGGACTTGGCGACATGCGTCCAGGCGATGTCCTCCAGACCCATCCACTCGGTCGCGCCCGAATGGTACTGCACCTGGTACTCCGGGGCTCTGCAGGGGGATTGGGAGTTCAGGCATCGTCCCAGGTCCCGGCGCCGTGTCGGCCGCACGCATCGCCTCGCCATGCGCCGCGCCCCGGCCCCGCAACCCTCCTGTCCCCGACAAAGAAAGAGCACCTGGCTGCGCCGTCCGGCTGCCTGGCGTCCAGCACGCACACGTTGTAGTAGGTGCGGCGGGACTTGATGTAGACGCGGATGTGAGACCCCGGCGGCGGCCCCAGGGGGCCCCGGACCATGCCCCCCGCGGCCTGCCGGCCGGCTTCTGGGACCACGGCTTCCCCGGCCCCCCTTTTGCGCGCCACCTCCCCCGCAGGCGCACCCCGCTTTCCCCGGGTCGTGGCGGTCGGCCGGCCCTTCCCACCCCGCGCCGGCGCCGCCGCCGCCAGGGCGGAGGCCACGGCCGCAGCCCTCGCCGCCGCAACAGCGCGCTCGTCGAAGAAGGCGCGAGCGTCGCCGGCGGAGGAGCTCAGCCGCAGCATGCGCTGCAGGAGAGGGCCCACCGTCGCCGGCGAAGCCCGCACGCCGACCTCAGGCTCCTCCATGGGCAGCTGGGAATGGTGTTTTGGGGGGGAAGGGGGGAGGAAGCTGGTGCATGACATGCCCATCGGCCCTGGAAGACATGCCCTACTTGTGCCATGGACACCGGCTGGGCAGGGGCCCCACCTGCCGGACCCCATCTCCTCCCTTCTGTCTCACCCCGTATCGCTGGACGATGCCCACGACTGCGTCGTCCACGCAGTGAAAGTCATCTACCAGAGAGCGGAGCGGGGCAGCGTGCACAGCACGCGCTGCCTCTGCCCACTGCAAGCCATCACAGAGGTGTGAGGGAGTTGAGCGCCATACCACGCCGCATGATCCTGGCAGCAAGTAACAAGTTCCCCATGGCAGTAAGGTCTCGACCAGGGATGAAAAGTATAGGCCCACTGTGAGGATTGGACGGCGGAGCCCTACGCCCACATGACAGATGCTCAGCCTTGCTGCTCCCAACCCATCCCGAAATATTCGCACCTGTTCCCTGGTGATGTTGTAGGCCCCACGCCCAAAGTCAAAGCCAAACTGCCCGTACCAGGTGGAGAGGTGAGCAGCTGTGTGCAGCACCCTCAGGTCCATGCCACCCTGTGTGGAAAAGCATGTGCGGAGCTCTTAAAACCCAAACCTCTCCTTAACGGTGCAGAGTCTGGTGCGGTAGGTGTGGTGCTTGCACCCACTGTATCCACCAGACATGCAGACCCCATGCCCTGGCCTTGATCTCCTATGCCAGGTGCCGGGCCAGCTGGCGCAGACACCGGCCCTGCTTTCTCCCGCAATTCCCGCAGCAGGCAACGCACCTTGTTGGAGACGTCCTCTGTGGAAATGGCGGTGGCTGCGAGGCGGGCGCACAGCTGCGTCCAGAGCAGCATGACCGTCCTCCCAGAGATCCGGGGCCCAGAGCCGGCCGCCCCTCCCTGCCCCTCCACGCCATTGACCCGCAGGAGGTGACCGTACCCATTCCCATGCACCATACCTAGCAGAGTGGAGAGGGGTGTGGGCACAAGGACTGAGTGATCCGGATGTGAGCCATACTGCGTGCCTGGACCAGGCCTTCAGAAGGTGAGGCTCCCGTGTCAGTCAAACAGGCAGCCCGAGGCCTGCCCGCCTGCTGCCTGAGCGGTAGCTCCAGAGCCCCCATCCCGTCCCATCAAGCATGCAAAGCAGCATTCGCTCCCTTCCCGCATACCATGCAGTACGTGGCGGGGGCACTCAAACACCGAGGCAGGGGCCGTGTAGCTCTGCGCGGCGGGATCATCGGGCGGCGGGGAGGCCAGCGCCGTCTGAGCCAGGGCCAGCGCACGGCCGCGAGCGCTGGCTGCCGCGATGGCCGCCAGGGAGGTGGGGTCTGCCAGTGATCCAGGCCCGGTCTGCGCAGGGCGAGGGGGCAGATTATTTCAGTGAAGACTGCCCGGCATGGGGCAGTGGCAGGCGCCGCGACCTGGGTCCCCTCCCATTCTGCACACCCTTGGACCCCCATCATCCCACCTCTGCTGGTATGATGAAGTGGTAGCGCGCAGGACTCACTGGGTGACCACCCCAGCCTGGTGCAGGGGATGCAAGAGGGCCCCTGAGCAGGTTTCAGCTCGTCACAGACGGGTGCAGGCAGGGTAACAGCCCTCCCATCCCTGCTCCTCAATTTGAAACGGTATACGGTGGCATCATCACATCTACACCGACTCCAGGGCTCACCCAAGATGCGACACTGGTCGCAGGCGGGCGTGCTGGGAGTCACTTCCTCTCGGAAGACCTGCAGGGTGGGACCCTCGGGCAGGGCCAACAGCCATCCTGACACGCCCTTCATCTTGGTCAGGGTCACGGGCGACCCGTTCTGCTTCAGCCATTGCGTGACAGTGGCCTCGAAGCCTGCGAGGGTCTCCGGTGGGCTCACTGCCCCCGCCATCTCTCAAGGCCAGGTGTGCCGACACCGAGCCTCCATGGCCTTGGGCGAACGGCTCAGCAGGTACGACTGACGAGGTAAGGGTTCTGTGGGTCCGTCGGGCACCGTGGCAGTTGCGTGTACGTTCCTGAGCGGGCGACATTCTACATTACGAGATACGGATGGTCGCCGCAGTAGCAGCAGCTCAGGGGTTGGAAGGAGACCGCACAACTTCATACCCTATTTGAGTATACGAGATATTTTGGCAGTAGCACATCAAACAAGACTTTCGGAGGTGTGTTTCCCTCTGCGCAGGGAGTATGTGTTCCTCCATCAGGTTTTACAATTGACACTTTTGGATACCTTGCCAGTTTGCACTGGCAATACTCCTGTCAGCATGCAGGTCATGCACAGGACTATTTCCAGCATCAAGATCCGTCCCTTGCAGTACATGGACCATGCTTGATGCTCCTTATCCAGGACTGTGCCCCTGCTACTGGTTTCTAATACACAGCTGGCCCTGACACATCTCGACCAGGTACTTGGGATCAAGGACTGGGACTGCAGGTTACTCAGACTCCTGACGACAACACCAGTCGACCGACCTTGGTATCGATCTATGAATAAGATACAGAAGGGAATCATACTCAAAATCAGGTGTCGGGAGGTTTCTGGAATCTCAGCCCGACACTCGCCAGAGAAGGTACGTGAAGTGTACCATTGGGTACGAGGGGATCAGCTCGCGTCTATTCCCGACATACAAGTCGAATCGATCTTTGAGTTACAGGTCATTATCGAGAGCAAGCCGGTCCTTGAACGACGTGGGACCCCACTTCCCGTCGCTGCGCAAGTGTCTGCCTGTGCGCCGCCGGCTGTGTCAATGCGCACGTAATCCAATCGGAGCCCGGCAGCTGCTTCGACTTCGGCCTGCGATCGAGTGGTGTCGATTCAGGGGCGTGGAGCTCGACAGATGCGCTTGGTACATATGAAGTCGTAAATGTGATCGGCCAGGCCGAGCATGGCAGCGAGACAGCTGCCAGGCCGGCTGCTCATGCCTCGGTCGGGTTGACAATGTCATGGCTGTCAGACTCATGGCCACCAGGACTGGTCGGTCTCAGAACTCAAATACCAGAAGTGTCTGAGAGGCTTGCCGACCTCATGTTCCTGTCCATTGAGGAATGGCGGTGCACAATGGTTGTGTCTGTAAGATTGAACTGCCGCTGTTCAATGGGCATGGGCAATGTCGACTGGGGCCTGTTTGCCATGCTGGCCTGCCCCGCCGAGCATAGTCACCAGCATGGCGGCATGAAGTTGGGCCGATTACAGTTGCATGGCAGCGCCAATTCGAGGTGCAAAAGAGAATACATATGCAGGGAGTGAGGGGCAGGGAGGGGAAGGGGGGCACTGATAGGGGGCGCGGCACCCAAGCGCAACACAGCAGCGGGCGAGTCTGCTCCCTGCCAACAAGGCCGGGCACACGAAACCCTGCTGAGATCGAGGTGGCGGTGAATTCACCACTGCATCACCTCTCACAGTGTTTGTAACAAGCCGTCCAGGTGGCGGCAGGAGCGGGGGGGGGGAGAACTGACGGGGTTGCGGGGGTGAGGTCCTCAGGGATTCACGGGGCGCCTGACAGGGCCGCCGTGGAGCTCCTCCCACTTGGCAAGTTCAGACTGTGATGGGCGTGATGGCGGGGGAGATTGGAGGGTTGGTGCTGCGAACAGTCACAGGGGCAGGGTGAAAGAGGGGGGCAGGGTGAAAGGGATGGCCCTCATCCCCTGCCAATGGGGGGGTGCTTCCCCATCATTGATGCCCTGCTTGCCATTGCGACAAGCTACCCCTTGCAGTGATCATCTAGTATTGTCCCACACCCTTCACGGCGCCAAGCCATGACGGCAGCAGGGGCTGCGTGCTCTGGCGCCCCCTCCCGCACACGCTTGCTTCCCCTCCCGTCCTCCCCCCATCTCTGCCCTCCCTGTCCATGAGCCCCCCCACACCCCCCACACACACCTGCAGCATGAGTTCGGTGATGCGGGCCAGCTCGGCGCAGGAGGGCCGCAGCGTGGGCTCCTGCTGCCAGCACTTTGTGATGAGCCAGCGCAGGGGCTCCGGGCATCCCGGGTCCAGGGCGGGGCGCTCCTTGTTGATGGCGACGCGGACGATGATCTGGAAGAGGTTGGATGTCTCGCGCCAAGGCTGGCGCCTGGTGTAGCACTCGTTCAGGATGACCCCCAGCGCGTACACGTCCACCTTCTCGTTGATGGCGTCGGAGTTGAGCTGCTCCGGTGCCATGTAGATGGGCGTGCCGTTGTCGTTGGTCACCTGGGACAGATAGGACTTGGTGGGGTCCTTGACGCGGGAGATGCCAAAGTCGGCCAGCTTGGCGCGGCCGTCGGCGTCCAGCAGGATGTTCTGGGGCTTGAGGTCGCGGTGCACCACGGCGGGGTGGAGATAGGCCAGGCCGCAGGCGACGTCGTGCGCGACCTGCAGGATCTCCAGGTACCCCAGGCGCCGCTTGTGGCGGTCGTGGATGCGCTGCGCCAGGTTCCCGCCCTCCATCAGCTCCATGATCAGGCACAGCGACTCGGGGCGGGCGGTGGACGCGCCCAGCACGCGCACCAGCCGCTCGCTGTCGAACTTGGAGGCCAGCTCCACCTCGCGGCGCAGCGCGGCGTGCAGCGCCGTCCCCGCCACCGCGTCGGCGCCCACGGGCGGCAGCTTCTTCACCGCCACGCGCCGCCCGCGCCACACCGCCTCATGCACCACCCCGAACCCGCCCGTGCCCAGACAGCGCCCCAGGTGCGGCTCAACCTCCGCCGCATAGTCCACGTCCAGGTCGGGGCCGTCGCTGGCGCCGGACCAGGCGTGGCCCAGGCCGCCGGCGCCGGGCGCGGGCACGCCCAGCAGGCCGCCGCCCGCGCCGCCGGCGCCCTCCGCGCGCTTGTGCCGCAGCGCGGCCGGCAGGCCGTCCTCCAGCCGACCCGGCTCCTCCAGCGCCCCCGTCCAGCTGCGGCACCGCGTCACGCCGCGGTCGCGGTCGTCGCCGGGGGGCGTGTGCGTGGCCGGGGGGGGGACGTCGGTGTCGTCCCGGAAGCGGGGGCCGCCCTCCACGGGGTGCACCGTGCGCGCCTTCTTCTCCAGCAGGGCCGATATGTCGGGGCGAGGGTCGGGGGCCGCGCCGGGGGCGGCACCTGCGCCGCCCCCCACGGCGCGCGGCGTGGCCGCGAAGCCGTGGGCCGCCGAGTCCAGCCGCTCCAGCCGCTGGCCGGGGCCGGTGCTGTACATCGTGCTCTGGTTGCTCAGGCTCTGCCAGTAGGCGGGCCCAAAGTCCACCACTGCAAAGGGGAGGGAGGGGGAAAGGCGTGTGTCAAACGCAGTCTACGGACAGGCGATGGCGCGGGAGGTTGACCGGTTATAAAGAGGGGCGGCACGCAACCTTGATGACGACCCCCAGACGCAAGTCCCTGCCATGGCCACGCTCCCCCCCCGCCCAGCCCGCCACCTGCTTGGTCGCCGTTGCTGACGCCGCTGACGCCCGAGGGGTAGCGGGCCAGGGACCCGTTGCCGTTGGAGCTGCGCACGTTGCCGGGCCCCAGGAGCATGGCGTTTGACCCCGGCGTGCTGCTGGGCGACGGCCCCACCCCTGGGTTGTGCTTGATGCGTGGCGTGGTCCACACCATGAGCGGCTGGCGGCCCGTGCCCGGGTACTGCAGCGGGCCTGGCGCGGCGCCACGCTGCGGCCCCGGCCCGGGCGGCGGCTTGGCGCCGCCCCGCCCGCCGCCGAAGCCGCCGCGCGGGGTGGAGCTGTCCTCGCCGGACTCGGCGTCGCCAGACTTGACCCAAGCGCCGCCCCCGGTCAGGGACGCGTGCAGGCGGCGGCGGCGGCGCCAGACCAGCAGCCCCACCAGCAGACCGGCCAGCACCAGGGAGGAGGCCACCACCGCCACGGCCACCACCCAGGTGGCCACGCCCGAGGGGGGCTGGATGGGCTGGCCGTCCGGGGTCAGGGGGCCCCCGCTCGCGGTCCCAACGTCGGGTGGCGGCGGGGCCGGCGAAGTCGGGGGGGGCTCGGGACGGGGCGAGGCGGCGACGGCGTGCCTGCGCGGGGGAAAGGAAGGGGTGGGAGGGAGATGAGAGGCCGGAGCCGTGCGCCGCACGCACGGGCCCCCCACCTCCCACACGTCCTGCCCAGGGCCCGCACCCGCTCCTCTCACCCGCTCGATCCCTCCACAGGCAATCAAAACCACAAAAACCCTCGTCCTCACCTGGCTCGTCCACCAGCTCCACGTCTGGCCCCAGGGCATCCTCCGGTCCCTGGTCCGGCGGGATGAAGGGCGAGACCTCCGCCCCGTCCAGCGCGACGCAGCAGTAGGTGGCGGCCAGGTTGCAGCTCTGCGCCCCCGCCGCCCCGCCCAGCGCGACGCAGGTCACCCCCGCCGGCAGCGCGGCGCCATTGCTCGTGCCGGTGGTCATTCCCGCCCCGCCCTCCGCCGCCGGCGCGGGCGCGGCGGACCCTGGCGCCCAGCCTGTGGGCGGCAGCGCGCCCCAGACCTGCGTCCCGTTGACAAAGGCGGGGATGCGGGGGTTGGTCACCGCGCGGCGCTTGACGATGGTCGCGTTCCCCTCCGTGGGCAGCTCCGGCGTGTCCAGGAAGGAGTAGTCGGCGGAGGAGTTGAGCGTGACCAGGCCCTGGCGCGTGGTGATGGTGACCAGCAGGTCCATGACGTCGATGCCCTGGCCCAGGAAGAGCGAGGGCACCGCGTTCTCGCCGCTGGGCAGCAGGCTGCCCGCCCCCGGGCCCATGGACACGTTGACCGCGAAGCGCGCGCCGGGGACGTCCACGTCCCCCAGCGCGATGGTCAGGTTCACCGTCTCGCACCCTGTCGTCGCCCACTCGCACTTGGCCAGGAAGACCTGGCCGGGGTCGTACTCGGCCACCACGGGCAGGCTGCCCGCGGGGCCGTTGAACCAGTACTGGAAGGTGACGTCCTCCAGGTCCACCACCGACGCGTTCTGGATGTTGCGCAGCCTGCATCGAGGAGGGAGGGGGGGGGGGAGGGGGGGAGGGTCGGGCGACGTGTCTCTGTACCACTGAAAAGGGGAACAGGAGGCAGTCCTCGGGCCCACACGGTCTCTGAAATGACCCCCAGAATGCGAGTCGCACGCAAACCAAGCACTGCCAGCGCCACTGGAGCCCTCGGCAAGGCGGGACGCTTCGTGCCACGCTGCTCCATCGCCCACCCCGCACCTGACGAGGAACTGGGTGAATGTGTTCTCCAGGGGCTGATCAATGTAGACAATGGGCGTGTACTCCACCTGCAGTTGGTGTGGGAGGATTGGCCCAGGCTTGCAGGGTGAGGAGAATCAGGCACACAGTTCACAGGGTGTGTCCCCTCCCCCTGGGGTGCAGCGCAAGGTGTCCCCTCCCTGCACAGCGCCCCTCGTCCTGCCACAGCCAGGCCGGACTGCTGGGGATCCTGTGCCCTGCTCCAGTTTGAGCCCCATAACACCCCCCCCCCCCACCCCCCCTAAACCAAGACCGGGGAACATAAAGAGCCCGGGC